GTTTTCATAAGTTACTAGGGATAAATTTGCTATCTTCGAATTTTTTTTTTTAAGATTGAACTAATTGTCTCATAAAAATTTTATTTTGAAATTAATTTATCTTGAATTCGAAATATTTAGAACTAAAGGGTTATATGTAATTTGTTTTAGATGGATGATGTAATTGGTAAAGTAATTAAGTAGGATTTATGTTGTGTGACACTCAAGTTTTAAACAGACGGTGTCTTTTCATGCTACCCTTGCCTATATTCGTACAATTTCATGTCATTCGGTGAACATTTTTGAGTTTGATTTATCGCTTTTCATTAAATGATGACAACTAATGAACAGATGGATTCCATAATTCACAATTATTTTCATTCTAAATTTCCGTAAACATGTCCCCCTTGTTTTAATTGTTACTTCTTGAGACCTATTCTGGTGTGAAAACCAAGTCACACATCTCAACTTTCAACCTCTTTCTATGCATTCATCACCACTTATCAGCCAACCACCCACCGGCCGCATCCGTTTTAGCTCTTCATCAATAAGACACATTAATGAAGGTTCACTTATTCAGTATTTTTTTTTTCAAGTTCAATGAATTGAATTAAAATTTTCATTTTGCCATGGAGGATGTTGTTGCGATGCATCGCCTTTTCATACTCTTTTTATCTGTTGTTATGGTTTCTCCAGAGAGCTCTTCCTACCGTGATGTTGAAATTTTGTTGCGAGTGAAGTCTGACCAGCTTAGGGATGACAACAATGTGCTTGGAGATTGGAATGGCCCTTCTTTGGATGGTCCTTGTAACTGGACCGGCATAACATGCGACCATCATAGAAAAGTCGTGTCAATTAACCTCGGTGGTCTTGGTGTTTCAGGAAGATTCCCAGCCGATTTTTGCCGGATTTTAACTCTACAGACTCTTAATCTCTCTGATAACTACTTTGGTGGAGAAATTTTTGGCGACTCATTTAGTTTATGTTCTCATCTAGAGTCAATTGATCTTTCATCAAATCTTCTTGTTGGAAAGTTGCCAGAGCTCCGTTGGGAATTCCCGAACCTCACTAAACTTTCTCTTCACTCAAACAACTTCTCTGGTGAAATTCCAACAGAATTTTTCAAAATGCCAAAATTGGAAAGACTTAATCTTGTGAACAACCTCTTTAACGGCTCGATTCCCGATTCGCTATCAAGTCTCACTGAGTTGACTCATCTCGAAATTGGTCTTAACCCATTCAAACCAAGCCCATTTCCTTCTTCACTTGGAAATTTAACAAAGCTTGAAAACATCTATGCACGACAATCAAACATCATTGGATCTATTCCAGATTCAATCGGGGGACTTGTACACCTCAAGGGAATCGATCTATCATCGAATAGTCTTTCTGGTAAAATCCCGGAGAGCATTGGAGGGATGAGAAACGCGGAAAAGATATTGCTCTATGACAATCAACTCTCAGGTGAACTACCCAACACATTCTCAAACCTCACTTTTATAATTTTCTTTGATGTTTCTCAGAACAATTTGACGGGAAAAATACCGGAAAGTCTCGTCAAGTTACATCTCACTCTGTTGCATTTAAATGACAACAACCTAGAAGGTGAAATTCCAGAAATCTTATCTCTCAATCCGAATCTCATTGACTTAAAACTATTCAACAATAGAATTTCTGGGATGTTACCGAAGAACTTGGGCATGAACTCTGAATTGACTTATTTTGATGTTTCTGGGAACAATTTATCGGGTCCTCTTCCCCCGAGTCTTTGTTTAAAAAAGACCCTTCAAACTTTGATCATTTTCGACAATAAATTTTCGGGCAGCATTCCAGAGACCTATGGCGATTGTAGCTCTCTCAACTATGTGCGTATCCAAAAGAATGAACTATCCGGAGAAGTACCTTTTGGGTTTTGGAGTTTTTCAGGGTACAAACTCTTTGAACTCCAAAACAACAATCTTGAAGGTAGGATTCCTCCTTCAATATCCAATGCCCGAGATATGAGACAAATCTTAATATCTGAGAACAACTTCTTCGGAGAAATTCCTGTAGATATATGCGAATTGAAAAAGTTAGCAATTATGGATATGAGCATAAATAGATTCTCAGGTGCACTTCCTTCTTGCCTCACAAGCTTGAAGAATCTTCAGAAGCTCCACCTTCAAGAAAATTTTATTGGAGGAGAAATACCTAAATCAGTTGATTCCTGGAGTGAATTGACTGATTTGAATTTATCTTCTAACAAATTATCAGGTCGAATTCCAAGCTCACTGGGGGCATTACCGGTATTAAACTATTTAGACCTTTCCTGCAACAACATCTCTGGTGAAATTCCTGCATCTCTGACAAAGCTAAAGCTTATCAGCTTCAACCTTTCCAATAACAAGCTTAAAGGGAAAGTTCCAGCAGAACTTGATAATTCTGCTTATCGATTAAGCCTAATGGGGAACCCAGATTTATGTAGTTCTACACATCTTGTTGGTCTCCTTCCATGTACCAAGAGAAAATCTACACCCTCTTATTTGTTGGGTGTTTTGCCAGCTTGTGCTTTTACCCTTGTCGGGCTACTCATCTGGATCCTTTTCAATTACAAACCATGGAAGCAAAGAAGTAAGCAATCATTGATGAGAGTTGCATTCCAAAAGTTATTGTTTAAAGAGTCTGAATTGTTGAACTCCTTGACCAATGATAACATCATAGCAAGAGGAGGTTCAAGCCAAGTATTCCGGGTTAAACTGAAAAATGGGCAAATGGTAGCGGTTAAGAAACTGTGGGAAGCAAATCGGGAAGCTATGGAAAGAGAATCTAAAGATCTATTCAAATCAGAGGTGGAGACTCTAGGAAGAATCAAACATAGAAATATAGTGAAACTATTATATGGTTGTACGGGGAAAGGTTTCAAGATATTGGTTTATGAATATATGGAGAATGGTAGCTTGGGAGATGTGTTGCATGGAGGAAGAGACGTGTTGTTAGATTGGGCTACGAGGTTCAATATAGCAATCGGGTCGGCTCAAGGACTCGCATATCTTCACCATGATTGTATTCCCCCGATCCTTCATCGCGACATCAAGTCTAACAACATTTTGTTGGATAAAGACTTCAAACCAAAAGTAGCCGATTTTGGGCTAGCCAAGATGTTGAGCCAGGTTAACAAAGTGGAGGAGAATGATGAAGTCATGTCTTGTGTTGCTGGTTCATATGGCTACATTGCACCAGGTGACACTTCTTTTGTTTATCTTATCTTAAATTTAACATATATAAATTAAATTCATGAATATTTGTTACACATAACTGTACTTTTTTTAAAATAATATTTATGAACCAATTGCATAAGACATTGAAGAAATGAAACAATATTTCTTACAATATTTATGAAACAATTACACAACATGAGTGATTGTGTTGGTATATTTGTAGAGTATAACAACCATGTGATTTGATTTTGGTCTATGAGTTTTGTTTAAGTATTATAGTTCGGGAATTATTTTGACTTGTATAGTTATTTAATTAATTTGCAGAGTATGCATACACACTAAGGATTTCAGAAAGTAGTGATGTGTATAGCTTTGGTGTGGTGTTGTTGGAATTAATATCTGGTAAACGGCCAAATGATGACACCTTTGGCGAAGGCAATGATATTGTGAAGTGGGCGTTGAATATTGCAATCTCAAATTCAGAGCAAATTGAAGAAAATGACATATGTAGCTGCGACAGTTATGCTTATGTGTATCAAATTGTGGACCCTAGGATGAATCCATCTTCACATGACTATGAAGAAATCATGAAAGTCTTGAATGTCGCATTGATTTGCACTTCGCCGTTACCAAATGATAGGCCCTCCATGAGAAAAGTTGTGGATCTGTTGAGGGACATATCCATGGCTCGTACCATAAGTAGGAGATTGCTCTAAAATGTTTTTCCCAGATTCCTGATTAAATGGTAAGTGCATGGCTTCATGGTAATTTAGCTCCATAGATGATATGAAGAATAGATGCAGTGAATCATAATATTGTGGAGATGATAGGTTTTGTACTAAAATGTGTTTATACTATTTTCCCTTTTGTATCACAGATTTATGATTTTGGATTATTGTTTCAGACTCTTATGGAATAAATATCGGATCACAAACATAAAACAATTCTAAAAAAGAATTAACTTTTATAGGAAATTAACAATTTATGGTGACATGCAAAATAGTAAGGTGTTGGAGCTATTAATTATATAGTGCCATCCTCATCTATAAAGAATGACCTACTTGAACAAAATGTTCATTTCGATGAGTTCATTCTCTTTGGAAAAGAGTCTCGTTAAAGCATTTGGTTTGTTCAGCTCAGTGGAGGACCTAGGGGGCTCCTAAGGGGGCAAGTGCCCCCACTTCAATTCCGATCCTGAACTTTAGTATTAATACTTAGGATAAAAATAGTGCCCCGCCTATCTGGATAAAAAATACTTTGTATAACTATTAAACGAGGTAATAATCCATTCAAAGAGTATATGGAGATTGTTATAAGACATTTAAACGACTATGAAATTATATATGATGAAATGATTGCTTACGATTAGACACGATCCCAATTGTAAATGTTAAATTTTTATTGTTTATAATATGAACACTATAAACAGTGGAAGGATGGTTCAGTTGTAATCCATGTCCAGTCTTTCTTTAAAAAAACTAAATATTATGTCCAAAATTGTCTTAATAGGTTAAAACTATACCTATAAATCATAGGTGCACATCCTTTGGAACCGACATTGAATAAACTATTTCCCTTTAAAAAAATTGTCTGCATGAGATAAAGTAGACCATTCTCACACCCGACATGACCCGACCCATTTATATCCATTTTGCAGTGCCCCTCCTTAACAAAAGCTCTAGGTCCGCAACTGAACTTCAGTTGGATCTGCTGAATTTGTCAAGTTTATGGAAATGATTCAACCCTTCCCATAAAAAGTACGACGATTAATTATGACGAATCAATGATCGAAAAAGAGATATCAAACATAAAAATGACAAGTACTTCAAATTGAAGTTGGAATATCCAAACAGAGAGATATCCCAAGAACAAACAGGGAGACTTCACAGGACATTATACATTCAATGATTATGAGGGGGTGCACCATGACTCTGGATCAAATTAGATTAGCTCCAATACTATAATAAAATCCAGTGTTAGTTTTAGGTTAATTTCACAGGACCATTTGACAATATGCGAGAATTTTAACTTTTTTAAATAGTGCTACTTTTTTTTTTTTAATTCACACCTCATATTTTCTTTTTATTGATTGTGTATCCTAATCATTACACATTTTGTATGTGTTTGATGGCTTTTTACTCTTTAGAGTAATTTTTAAACAATCAACTCTTTATATTAGATCAGATTTATGAATCAACTAGTCAATAACAAGTCACGCGTTATTGTACATTGACATATGTGATTAAATTTGAACAAAAAATCTGAGGAATATAATGTACTTATGTACATAACTCTTGTATAAGAATTGTGTAGGTGATATAAGGTAGTGTTAGTGACACATTATATATATTGTTGGGATATATTATCCCGGCCTATTACTGTTCAGGAGCCCAAGACTTTACGTGGTACGAAGCCCAATCAGTAAGGCCCATTTTAGCCCATCAGGCCCGATATTGGCCCGTTTGGCCCATTAGGGTGGAGAGCCCCTTCTCCCCTTCCCCTATTTATAGGAGGTTTTCCCTCCATGTAAAGGGGCTTTTTCCTTCTTCCCCATGCTTCTTCTTCTTCCTAGAATAGCTTAGAACTCCATTAATGGGAGCTTCAATACTTGTACTATGTAATGGTGAGGAGAGATTAATGAGAATGAGAGGGCTTGGACATTAGCCTAAAAAGTCCCGTGGTTTTCTCCCTTTCGGGTTTCCACGTAAAAACTGAGTGTTCATACATATATTTACTATATCGTGTTGGATTAAACTCAACACTGGCGCCGTCTGTGGGAATCTGTCCAAAAAGATTCATGTGTCCTACTGTTCTTGAGTTTTCTACGAGAAAAATCATACGAAATGGACTGATTCCCAACAAAAAAAAGAGGATTCTGGAAGATCTGGGCTGTCTGGATTTTGCTCTGTTTTGCCGCCGCCGCCGGAGCATCGCCGCCGCCAGAGCATCACCACACCGCCGTCGTCATCGCCTGCCAACTGCTGGTCACTCCCCCACCTGGTCGGTCGCCGTTCGAGTTTCCACGACTCGGCCGACGCGACCTGTGGGACATGCCGGCAGAAGAGCTCCTTTAGTTTCCACCATTAATGGTGGCTTCGAACTCAAAAGAGGATATTCAGTAGTTGGTCGAGTTTCAGCCGGAGACTAGCTTCTCTGGCCGCTCTTGCTCTGCTACGGCAAACACCATCACCGTCGCGAGGAAGCACGAACCGCTTGCTTTTTTGGTTGAGGATGTGTTCTTCCATCTGCCTCTCCAAAAAAGGTGCCTTCACTTGGATGGGAGCGGGCCACGTCGAGGAAAAAAGGCGGAAGGGGTAAGATTTGGGTCAGCCGCTGCGATACTGTGCACTTCATGGGCTCCCTGGAACAAGCTACAGTGGCTGAGCTGGGCCCCTGCATTGGCCATGGGGGTAGCTGCCAGCTTGCAGACATTAAGCTCGGTCAATGGGGGGATTTGAAATAATTTTGACCAAGTCAAAATTGGCAAATAGGGAGCAAACCTGACAATACTCCACTGGCCGAAAACATCTTTGAAGCTAAGTGCCCTATTCTTGAACTTTGAATTGATACTCCGTAATTGTTTTGAAATATTACTAGTATTGTCATTAGTTAAATTATTTTATCACCATTATTTATTAGGGATTAAAACCTCCCGAAATTAAATAATGCCGAGCGACGCTCTTTGTGATAATTAGTTTTCACCGTCATTTAAATTTAATGACTGGTTGTTGTGGGCCCGTCGGCCCGCTCCTGATCGGCTTAAATTAGCCGGCAGAGCATACCGGAATGGCCTTTGATAGGATAACATCATTGCTATTGCCTGTTATATCCCTATTATTTATTAGGGGTAAAATGTCCCGAATTAAATAATGTGGGGCGAAGCTCTGGTGATGGTTGGTTCAGCCAACATTTTATTAAATATTTAATTTCTTGTGGGCCTGTTGGCCCACTCTCGATCAGCTTGATTAAGTGATCCGAGCGTCTCCAGAAGGGCGATGCCCCGACGACGCATTTTAATTTGGGGGTTATGCAATAGTCCGCACGGCACCAAGTGCTCGAGCGACGATAATACCCTAGTACCACCTGCGCCACTAGGCGAAGTGACTGTGCCAAACGCGGCCTGTGGGGCCCGAGGGCACCGAAGCGCTCAACCTCGTTTTTTCGAGGGCAGTGCGACCAACTTGGGTCTGAGTTTTCAAACTCACAGACCAGTGATTATCTCTATGTGACGTTCGGCGGGCTGCTAATTGGCCCCGCCGCGAGCTGCTACGTCCATTAACCCCGCACGATGAGCCGGGCCGAGGGTCACGATGACCCATAGGCCGGTAATCGTGGATGTTAAAGAGAAAGCCATGCAGATGGTTATGTGTGTATACATATTGTCGGGCCGTGCGGCCCGTTACCATGCTTATTGCGCAGCTGAAGCCGCTCGACGCGCTTGAGCGAAATGATTAAAAGACGATCGGCCTAAGTCTCAAAGACGTTCAGGGCCAGCTAAAGTGGAGACCATCACGGCTGAGAGCCGATGGACGAGCATCTCCACCCAGAGGTCGAGGGCCTAGAGGAGACCACCACGGTTGAGAACCGTGGGACGAGCATCTCCACCCCAGAGACCGATGGCCTAGGAAGAACACCTAGAGGCCGAGGGTCTAGAGGCGAATGCCATGACAGAGAACCGTGAGACGATCACCCGTCATTCAGAGGCTGGGGGCCTAGAAGAGATCGTCACGGCCGAGGGCCGTCTGACGCCACCATTACATCATGACCGGCCCCTCGGCACGACATGATCATCATATTTGAAGACCGGCCTCGTCCCCGCACTGCGCGGATGAGGACCGTTGCTTGGATTTCAGGTCGGCCTATCATTGCCGACATCATTACATCATGACCGGCCTCTCGGCACGGCATGATTATCTTATTTGAAGACCGGGCTCATCCCCGCGATGCGTGGATGAGGACCGTTGCTTGATTTCAGGTCGGCCTCTCATTGCCGACACCATTATATCACGACTGGCCTCCCGGCTCGGCGTGCTTCCCATATTAGAAGACTGGTTTCATCCCCGCTCCTCGCGGATGACGACCGTTGCTTGTTTTCTCAGATCGGCCTCTCATTGTCGATGTTATTATATCACGACCGGCCTCCCGACACGGCGTGTTTATCTTTTGAAGACCGGCCTTGTCCCCGCCCCTCGCGGACGAGGACCATTGCTTGATTCTTTCAGGTTGGCCTCTTACTGCCGACACTATCATGTTATGTTCGGCCTCTCGGCACGACATATTTATCTTTTGAAGACCGGTTTCATCCCCGCACTGCGTGGATGAGAGCCGTTGCTTGGATATATCGGCCTGATCGGACACTATTGTCATCTCTTTATCAGGACCGACTGCTCAGCGACATTATGATCATTATCGGCTCCCAATGCTGACCTTCTTGAGTTAGCGATCGGACTCACCCCTCCCCTCCAGGAGGGTGACCATCGCCTTCGCATGACGACCAGCTATTCCATCGCCTCGTCATTTTATTCGTTTTGGTATCCCACCACCATTATGTGTGACATCACTTGTGGTCATTCTTAGAACCGACGAACGTATTTTTCCTCCCTAAAAAAAAATGGGGAGAAGGGGAGACAAGCTCCTATGAGAGAGGGAGTCTTGACGAGGTATGCCAGATCTTCCTTCGCCGCGAATGACGAACGTCTCCTGACACGGAGGCCAGTAGGAACGTGGGGGGGGGGGGGGGGGCTAGACGAACCAAAGGGAACCTCGGCAAGATAAACCAGTTCCTCCCATTTCCCGTGGATCGACGAACACCTTCTGCCAGAGCAGAAGGCTAGTAGGGCCACAAGCATGGGACGACGAAGCAGGGAACCCGCGATAGGGTAAACCAGTTCCTCCTTGCGATCGGTGGATGCCGAACGTCTTCTTCGAGGGAAGAAGATTAGTAGGATCACGACAGGGACGAACGAAGAAACGGGAACCCTGACAGGGTATACCAGTTCCTCCCCCTTGATGGACTAATGACGAACGTCTTCTGCGAAGCCAGAAGACTAGTAACTCACGACTGGGGACGAACAGAGATAGTGAATCCCGACGTGGATAAACCTGTTTCTTCTCATAGTTGGGATGACGAACGTCTCCTGCGAAACCATGAGACCAGTAACTCACGAGACTTGGGAAGAACGAAGACCAGTTCCATGGATCAGACACGAAGAACCAGTTCTTTACCGGAGTCTGTTGCGTGCCGAGTGTACACCGCTTAGCGGTCCATACATAGGACCACGGATACGGTAGATGAACGAAGACCAGCTCCATGGATCAGACACGAAGAACCAGTTCTTTACCGGAGTCTGTTGCGTGCCGAGTGTACACCGCTTAGCGGTCCATACATAGGACCACGGATACGGTAGACGAACGAAGACCAGCTCCATGGATCAGACACGAAGAACCAGTTCTTTACCGGAGTCTGTTGCGTGCCGAGTGTACACCGCTTAGCGGTCCATACATAGGACCACGGATACGGTAGACGAACGAAGACCAGCTCCATGGATCAGACACGAAGGACCAGCTCTCCACCGGAGTCTGTTGCGTACCGAGTGTACACCGCTTAGCGGTCCGTACATAGGACCACGGATACGGTAGACGAACGATGATTAGCTCCCCAGATCAGGTAGGAGGGACATCGCCCAGATTTATTTCAGGCTCACCATTCCTGGCAGACGATCGACTTCTCACAGCCAATCAGGAGAGAGACTTGACACATCACCAGCACGGCCGAGGGCCGTGAGACGATTACCACTCACCGACAGGCCGAGGGCCATGAGATCATCATCACTATTTTTCTGTATCACGATCGGCCCCTCAGCGCTATCGTGTCCAGATTCACGGTTCGGCTCGCCCATTCCCTTCCAGGATGGCGACGACCGTCTTATGCAGTACGATCGGCCCCTCAGCGCCATCGTACCCAGCTCACGTTCAGCTCGTCCATCCCTTCCAGGGTGGCGACGAACGTCTTATGCATCACGATCGGCCCCTCAGCGCCATCGTGTCCAGATTCACGGTTCGGCTCGCCCATTCCCTCCAGGATGGCGACGACCGTCTTATGCAGTACGATCGGCCCCTCAGCGCCATCGTACCCAGCTCATGTTCAGCTCGTCCATCCCTTCCAGGGTGGCGACAAACGTCTTATGCATCACGATTAGCCCCTCAGCGCCATCGTGTCCAGATTCACGGTTTGGCTCGCCCATTCCCTTCCAGGATGGCGACGACCGTCTTATGCAGTACGATCGGCCCCTCAGCGCCATCGTACCCAGCTCACGTTCAGCTCGTCCATCCCTTCCAGGGTGGCGACGAACGTCTTATGCATCACGATCGGCCCCTCAGCGCCATCGTGTCCAGATTCACGGTTCGGCTCGCCCATTCCCTCCAGGATGGCGACGACCGTCTTATGCAGTACGATCGGCCCCTCAGCGCCATCGTACCCAGCTCACGTTCAGTTCGTCCATCCCTTCCAGGGTGGCGACGAACGTCTTATGCATCACGATCGGCCCTCAGCGCCGTCATGTCCAGACTCACGGTTCGGCTCGCCCATTCCCTCCAGGATGGCGACGACCGTCTTATGCAGTACGATCGGCCCCTCAGCGCCATCGTACCCAGCTCACGTTCAGCTCGTCCATCCCTTCCAGGGTGGCGACGAACGTCTTATGCATCACGATCGGCCCCTCAGCGCCATCGTGTCCAGACTCACGGTTCGGCTCGCCCATTCCCTCCAGGATGGCGATGACCGTCTTATGCAGTACGATCGGCCCCTCAGCGCCATCGTACCCAGCTCACGTTCAGCTCGTCCATCCCTTCCAGGGTGGCGACGAACGTCTTATGCATCACGATCGGCCCCTCAGCGCCATCGTGTCCAGACTCACGGTTCGGCTCGCCCATTCCCTTCCAGGATGGCGACGACCGTCTTATGCAGTACGATCGGCCCCTCAGCGCCATCGTACCCAGCTCGGCGTTCAGCTCGTCCATCCCTTCCAGGGTGGCGACGAACGTCTTATGCATCACGATCGGCCCCTCAGCGTTATCGTGTCTAGATTCACAGTTCGGCTCGCCCATTCCCTTCCAGGATGGCGACGAACGTCTGTATGCAGCACGATCGGCCTCTCAGCGCCATCGTGTCTGGCTCATGTTCGGCTCGCCCATCCCTTCCAGGATGGCGACGAACGTCTCTTATGCATCACGATCGACCCCTCAGCGCCATCGTGTCCAGATTCACGGTTCGGCTCGCCCATTCCCTTCCGGGATGGCGACGAACGTCTCTTATGTAGCATGATTGGCCCCTCAGTGCCATCGTGTCTAGTTCATCTCCGGGTCGCCCATCTCCTCCAGGATGGGGACAGATATCTTATGCAGCACAATCGGCCCCGCCGTGCCATTGTGTCGAGTTCATCTCCGGATCACCCATCCCTTCTAGGATGGCGACGACCATCTTATGCAGCACGTCTGCCTCTCGGCGCTGACATGCCCGGTTTATCGATGAGAGCCACCGCTTTCTATCACATCTCACATTCCTTCTCTCATACATTGCACCCATACATTACATGCATTCATGCATTCATGCATCATACCTCATACATTCATACATACACACGTGCATCATGTTTTGACAGTACCGCGACGTCGGTTTATAGATGCATGGACCTCTAAGCTTCTCCGATTGGAAAGCTCGAGTCAGAGTCCTTTACTCCCACCTGATGCATTCAGGGGGAGTGTGCCCGTGGAGGAGCACCCTTCGCCCGACCCCGTCGGGGAGGGGGGTGCCTCACCGGCAGATTACGTTCAGGAGTGCAGACACCCACTCATATATTATGATTATGTGAAGACACAGTTTCCAGCAAGACAGAGGAAGAGCGCAGGCAGAGTATACTTTCTCGAGCAGATTCGCGCGCTCACTACTCAAGAAACTGGGGGACTTGTGTTGGGATATATTATCCCGGCCTATTACTGTTCAGGAGCCCAAGACTTTACGTGGTACGAAGCCCAATCAGTAAGGCCCATTTTAGCCCATCAGGCCCGATATTGGCCCGTTTGGCCCATTAGGGTGGAGAGCCCCTTCTCCCCTTCCCCTATTTATAGGAGGTTTTCCCTCCATGTAAAGGGGCTTTTTCCTTCTTCCCCATGCTTCTTCTTCTTCCTAGAATAACTTAGAACTCCATTAATGGGAGCTTCAATACTTGTACTATGTAATGGTGAGGAGAGATTAATGAGAATGAGAGGGCTTGGACATTAGCCTAAAAAGTCCCGTGGTTTTCTCCCTTTCGGGTTTCCACGTAAAAACTGAGTGTTCATACATATATTTACTATATCGTGTTGGATTAAACTCAACACATATGCTAACTGTTGTAGATATGCTAATTAATACTTCCTCCATTCTTTAATAGTTGTAGGGATAAGGGTCAGATAGGGCCTCGAACTTGGAAAAAAATGTCAAATAAGGCCATATTTAGGATGCTATGTCCGGCTGACGCCATTTGGGGCGGTTCCCGGTGGAATTTTTTGATGAATTTTTTTGAGAATCTTATTCATTAAGTCTAGTTTACTCATATCAAATTTGAACTAACAATTCAATCGGGAAAGCATTCAAATGAATTTTTGAAGATAACTGTGCTTTTAACTGCACAGTTATCTTCAAGAATTTATTTGAATGCCTTCCCTATTGAAGTTTTAGTTCAAATTTGATATGAGTAAACTAGACTTAATGAATAAGATTCTCAAAAAATTTCATCAAAAAATTCCACCGGGAACTGCCCCAAATGGCGTCGGCCGGACAGAGCATCCTAAATATGGCCTTATTTGACATTTTTTTTCAAGTTCGAGGCCCTATCTGACCCGTATCCCATAGTTGTAACATTGAGATTTTTGCACTATTCACACATTTTTACTTTGATCACGTTTTTTTACTGACAAATAAATAGTCTCTAATATAATATTGTCATATTATAATTTTACATTATTTAGTGGTAATTATGGTAAATATTTTATACATAATTTAAAGAACAATGAATGTATCCCTCAATTTGTGATATAGAGTTCATTAAATACCAAATGCATTAGTTATCTATTGTAATTTGTAATGGTGAAAGGTGTCACGCTCTAGACCTACCGACGTTATGGCTTTTCTTAATATTAACATTCATATCATCTCGGTTACTATAAATTGTTTTTTATTCGTTCGAGTATATAATTGACTAAACATTTTCCCAAACAGTTCAACAATTTACTTGAAGAGTAAGTTTCCATTGAAAATTGGGGGTTTGAGTACAAAATCTTAATTTGAATTCCATTGTGAGATGGGAGAGTAATAACAGTTTTGTTTTGTTTCTATTTTATCTATGTTTTTGCAAATATATATTTTGTACGAATTACATTAACGCTTCAAAGATAAATATTTCATAAAATATTTACATATATATGATTAAAATAAATTTATTGCTTACTTGCTCAAAATATAATAGATTAACACAAACTACAATTCATTACATACTACTTGGCTTAATCTTGAAATCTAGGTAAATCAATTGTATGAGTTTATTTTTTATATGCTGAAAATGCTGCATAACAACTTCATTATCAGTTGTTTAAAAAAAAATCTTTCACTATAGCACACAAACAAATCCATACGACAGTCACCACTTTGAAGATCTATGTTGATAACACTTATCCTGGAGAAAGTTCTTTCAACTATGGAGGAGGAGGAGGGGGAGGGGGGGAGGAGGAGGTGGAGGGGGCGGGGCAGAGGGGGAGTAGGAGGGGGAGGAGGATGATCAATTTGGTCTCAAACTTTAATTTGCATCAATTGTGCATTTGTTTCTTAGACAACGAAGGATACCGATATTTTAGATTTGGTTATCCATAAAAAGAGAAAGTACCCGAAGACAATACAATAACAATAAATGGAGAATAATTTCATAGCATAATTAAAACAATCCTAAAATATTTATAATCTCCAAACGTGAGGGTTACTACTCGTAATACAACTGGTAACACTAAAACCAACTCAATGAGACGATACATGAAGTGAAAAGATTTGTGAATTCTAAACTCAACTATCTTCTTAATTAGAAACTTCACTAATACATATAAAGGTAGAAAACTAATGTAGCTTCTGAATATGCAAATTTTAAATATTAAAAATAGAATTAACTACCAATATGGAAGATTTAACTTCAACATTGATTGATAAAAAAATATTGACTTTGCAAATCATTTTGGGATAAAGGGAGTAATATGAATATAATTTTGAATGCTTGGAGGACTTTTGTTTGAAAAAAAAGATGGACATTAATCATATTAATAGTAGTATTAGCAGTAGTATTTTTTTTTGTCCGCTGTAGTGGTGCTTTCCTCCTAGCTCCTCCATTGACTATAGTAATAACTTAGTCATAAATTCATAATAACTTAATAGATCGAGAAATAGAATGATAAATATGGAAATGAAATAAGAAAAAAAGGGTGAGAAAAAGGAATTAACAAGTGGCTAGGGATAAAAACAAAGAAAGAAAAATTTTAGGGAGGAAAAGGAAAATCGGACAGTTTTGAATAGATTTATAAAATGTGAGATTATTTATGTAAGACTTCCAAAGAAAGAACAAAAAACTTGATATAGTAGGTCATCAATCGATCAAAGTCCAATGAAAGAAGATGTGGAGCAATGTGAAATTATTTTGGAATTACGTAAATGTGAGATTATTATGAGAAGATCGGTAAGAAGTGAATTTTTCTTGTCAAATTTTCCTTTAATTAATTCATCCTTCATTTTTAGTACATCCGTCGTTTTTTTAATAATTAAATTCTCAACAAAGCCTGTTTTTTGTGTACACAAAAAACGTGTACACCAAGCATTTTTGCCCCCAATAGTGTGCTTGACCCCAATAGTCCAATACGAGTTTTTGTTGTTTGTGTCCTTATTTATAACAATGAAATTATTTACTCTCAAGTCTCAACATTAGCTTTATCTTATTAGCTATAGTCAATTTCTTATATTTGTGTCATTTTTAATGACCCATATCAAAACTAATTTGTAAAAATAGAACCAGTATTACTACAAACCTTTTGTGATAATAAAAGGCTTATATTGATATCACGAAGACACAGACGACGACCTTTAGACAGTTAATACAGATTCGATCGCAAGTTGTGAGAATACACATAGAATCAGTCACCCACAACAACATCCAGAGAAAAAACGGGCAAATTTAAGTCTAATATGACCAGATAAGAAGCATTGTCTATCAATTCTTTCCTAATTTGACTCCAACTAGCTATCACATAAAAAGACACCAAAATACACCAGTCAAAAAGGCTGAAGACATAACAAACATAAATATCCGAAACAAAACAAAAGGAGGGGTAATGATAAAAATGCAATTACTCCACTACTTGTTTTCCAGGTTGCTAGCTTCCTTCAGATATGTTCTTGTGGTAGTAACCGTCCACCTTTGAGTAATTGAGTGCTCCCCTCTTTGTTTTTTGCGTAGCCTCTTGAGTTATTATCAACCGAATTCTAACCCCTCAGCCACCTCAGGATTGTTAGCTCTCCCTATCCTGAGCCAATGTTCGGGCACCCACCATTGAAGCTGTTGCATCCACTATTCACCATTAGTCAATGTCCTTAAGTCCCAATTTTCTGTGTATGTCACACCTCTAGAGGATAAAACATGTCTGAATGTCCAATAATACCACATGTTTTTTTTCTCCCGAAATTCACCCTGATAGGTGTGGTAAATGTCGGGAAACATTTACCATATTTATTAAAATTATTAAGGTTGTACAGTAGTTGAAATAAAATACAACAATGAAAGATAGGAAATAATGAAAAACTAGAGTTTGGGCCCGAATTTTGCCCCTAAGTTGTAAAAACAAAACGCTAGTCCTAGAGAAGGAATATATTCCCCTGCGATCCAACATAATAGTCCAACCGCCCTTTGTCGAGATCTGTAGGGTTCCAGGAGCATCCATTTTGTAAGCCGGTTGGCATTCTTGGAGCCCGGGTTTGAGAGATAACGCATATTATCCCGAATCTCTAAAGAAAATCGTGCCCTTGAGGTCCAATAATACTACATGTAAAACAAAGGGAAAACTATCAAATAAGCCCCTGTACTATGCTGAAAAAGTCAATTAGGCCCCCGTACTTTACAAACACTCAATTAAGTCCTCGAACTATTTAAAAACGTTCAATTAAGCCCTTTCGGTCGGTAAGTAACCGGTTTCCCGGTTAAACGGCGACAACAGCGACGATGTGCTCGAACCCCAGCAACGGCAGCTGCCGGGAAACAGGTTACATTTAACCGGGAAACCGGTTACTTACCGACCGAAAGGGCTTAATTGAATGTTTTTTAATAGTTCGAGGACTTAATTGAGTGCTTGTAAAGTACGAGGGCCTAAATGACTTTTTCGGCATAGTATGGGGGCTTATTTGATAGTTTTCCCTAAAACAAAAGTTGTGAAGTTTTTCATACCTTAGATCTACCTAGATGGATTCAATCCTCATATCCCTTCTTAAGTTTCATACTCTTCTTGAGCGGCTTTTCGATATCAAGACATATGCGAATTCTCATATATGCCCCCTCATACCTTCAAAAATTGGTTTTCGTCTTCTTTAATAAACTTCCCTAGACTTGAATAAGCATATCTGAACTTATCATTACCAAATTTATATTCAACAGTTATCATATGCATTGCTAAAAATAATGATGTTTCATACGATAGTATTTATCTTTGTTAGTAATATACGGTTCGTGAATAATACAACAATACGTACGTTCGTGTATAATACGATACAGTTATATAAAATACGGCTTAATATATGTTTCATACGTTCGTGAAATATATAAAGATACGGACGTGTTTTAAACGTTTCACATTTTTAAAATACGGCATAAAATATGTGTCTTATATACTAATTTAATGAAAGAAATAAAGAGTTATCAGTACAAATTTGAATGCATAGGTACAATAAGTAATAAAAATGACATTGCCTATTTGAGTAGAAGTACGGAGATATTACCAAAGAATAGTTTATATTATTGTGACCGTGGGTTTGGTGAGCCACCACAATATTTTTCGATCTCTTTGGAGTCTTGGTATGGGTGGAGAACAAAAGTAATACAATAGTAGTACAATAGTAATGTTGAAACAGATTAAGAATTTAAGAAGCTAATTTATTAAATGTAATGACTATTAAACAATTAACAAACATATAAGGCATAAAGTTTTTTTAAGCAATATAAATAATATTGAGCAGCTAGAGTGCTAGACATTTCGTTTCAGTTGTATCACTCCATTAGGCTTCCGTTTAATGGTGTGTGTTTAAGAATAAAATACGTATCAATACATACAGTACGTGTGTTATACATTTTATCCTTAAAGTACGTGAGTTTTTCAGAATTTTCTGAAAAATTCATAAACGAGAGTATTATTCGTGAATAAAATACGTATCAATATGTACCGTACGTGTATTATACATTTTTTCCTTAAAGTACGTGAATTTTTCATAATTTTTTGAAAAATTTATAAACAGGAGTATTATACGCGAATTATACGTTTGAGTGTATTATACGCGAATTATACGCGAATAAACTAACAAAGGTATTTATAAAATATACATTAAAGTGTACAGTAATCCCTTAGTTAATACTCCGTATAATAAACTATATTTGTTAACAAAATAAAAGTAATGGTTAAATTTAATAAAGTTGGATTCAGAGAAGTTATCAAATTAGCTTTTCAAATTAGAACAAAATGGTTACTCTACATATTATGTCTACTATAATAGCTTTTCGTTTAGTATTTTATACCACGTATAAGAATAGCGAAATAACTACATTGGATGTCATACCTTTTAGCAAATTATTTGGGAGAATATGTAAGGGGTGTTTGGATCTACCTCCTAAAAATGTTGATGCTCCTTCTCAGAATAGAAGCATACATTGGAATGTTTGAGTCAAATTACAAGAGTACTTACTTCTATGTGCACCAAATTCCTCCTAGAAACAATTTTTTAGAAGTAGGGGAGACAAACTTCTGAAAAATTGATTCTGATTCTGTTTTTTCTTTAAAAAAAGGAAACATAAGCAGAATCAATTTCAATCATCCCTGAAGTAATAAATGGGTAATCGCTATTCCAAATTTAACTTACTATCACATTACAAAATCATTTATATTTGTATTTTTAAGTTGGATAAATCTATTAATAATGGGTGTAAATCTCAACCCTGACAAAAGAATGAAGATCAATGCATCAAATCCACTCGTGATTTAAAAATGTGTTAAACTCCTTATGTGATAATTACTCATGTGCAAAACCCTCTCAAAGAACAAATTTCATAATCTTGAAATCATTTGTTTTAATAATATGATTGAATATGCAAGTAACTTTGTTAAAATTTCTAAATTATACAAAATTATTATTAGTTTTTCATTTATCAATTTATTCAGAAGGAATTTTAAGCATAATTTGATCTTATTTTAGTCAAAACTCTATCAAAGTGTCTTATTATAGACATATTTCTCTTTGAGTAATACTCCCTCCGTCCCAGAAAATTCTTCCAACTTTCCTTTTTGGGACGTCCCAGAAAATTCTTCCAACTTCACTTTTTGATTATTTGTGTGGCTCACATTCATTTCAACTTTTTCTTACACAACTACAACCACACATTTCCACTTTATTCTCACTTTCTTAAACTCCGATCCAAGTCAAACTTGGAAGAATTTTGTGGGACGGAGGGAGCAGACGTTTTCTCTTTGAGTAATAGATAGACGTCAGGCGAAAATCATTCTCGTAGGAATCATTTTTCAGTTATACCCGGGATGGCGTCGGCGATGGTGAGATCAGGCATCCGCTCCGCCCTACGCGGTGGTGTATCTCCCAGAACCCAGGGTTTCAAGCGTAGCTTCGCTTCCTCCGCCCATCTTGACGAGGCCGGTCAGTGTTGACATTCGTTTTTCGTATCTGTTGATTACATTTTATGCTCCACTGTTCTTTCCTATCCTTTCGCTTCATACTCAATCAGCATATAATCGTTTTGATTCCAGTCTAGGTTATCGATGGATTCGATGCCCCGCCCATATCTTTGATTCTCTGTATATTTCGGGCTTTTCTTATTCTTAATATCCCTACATTTGAGATGAATAATGGTTTTTGATCTGGGATCTCTTGTTTTTTCTTCTTGATTTTGAATCATGAAACGCATAATTGGAATATCATTCTGTGCAAGAATTCATTTTTCTGGCTTCGGATGTGAGGTTGTTAAATTGTGGGTTGTAGATGTTTTTGAGGTTGTTAAATTTTGAGCTGTAGATGTTTTTGAGCTTGTAATCTGATTGAGTTTAATGGTTTGTGCACAGCCGAAGCTTCAAAGTGGGAGAAAATTACTTACGCGGGAATAGTTGCATGTAGTATACTTGCAGTTGTTACTCTCTCAAAGGGTCATCCACACCACTATGAGCCTCCTGTAAGATGTCTACTATATATCTCTACCCTCCCGGATCTTAGTTATTTCAATCCAATTTGTTGTCTATGTTGGTTAATGACTGGGGATATCTGTAAACTCAAGTATTTGTGTCAAGAGTAGCGCTTAAGTGTATGTTTTGCAAGTCAGTTAAAGGAAAATTAAATGTTGCATTTTGATTTTTAATATGAAAAAGGGGTTAAAGGAAAAGCTATCTCATTCTATAAAGGCCTTTTACCTTTTTATGTGGTCTTGAGTTATGTATATTTTTATTATTTATACGTAGTATATATTTTTTTGGGCCGTTAACCTTCTTTCATGTATACCGTTTCTTCTGTTTTTTCTATAAGGGAATGGTAAAATTTTCTTAAATTTACTACTAAGTTAATTAACAGTGGTTATGGAAGGAAGATGTTGAGGTAAAATTGAGAAAATTATACCACTCCGTGAACCATAATCTAAACAGTATGAAGTATTCTATTTGAAACCATCTTGATGTTGTTGGAAATATAAATTGAAGTTCTAAAAGTAAATCTATGCTGCTCCCATTATTGTTGTCTTTTGAAGTATATCTATTCATTTTAGCTAGTAGTTCATCTTCGTCGTTCTTTCATCTTTAGTTATTGCATTCTTGTCTTTTACCTAAAATTATACTACATCCATCCCACAATTAAATTCACAGTTCGACTTTTTGAGTCAAAATTGTATAACTTTGTCACACAAAATTAATTTCATATACTTCATTGCAATATACATTATTCAAATGTTATGTAGTATTTTATTAAAGATTTATAAGTGTAATTTTTTAGATATTAGGGTCAAACTTCCACAGTTTCACCTAGAAGACTTAAAGTCAAACTGTCAATTTAGAAGCTGTTCCGTTCACCTGATCTGAATGTTTCTGATCTGAATTTTTTAAGTTCTGATCTGATCTGATCTGAATTTTTCTGATCTGATCTGATCTGATCTGAATCTTTCTGATCTGATCTGATCTGATCTGAATCTTTCTGATCTGATCTGAATCTTTCTGATCTGATCTGAACGTTGCTGAACTGATCTGAATGTTGCTGATCTGATCTGATCTGATCTGAATGTTTCTGATCTGATCTGAATTCTTCTGATCTGAATCTTTCTGATCTGATTTGAATATTTCTATAATTGTAATTATAATTATAATTATTAGATTTATAATTGTAATTAAAAATATAACTTAAATAAAATTACAATTATAATCATAATTATAAAAAAATAATAATTAAAATTAAATTTAAAATTATAATAATTATACCAATTACACTAATTATAAATACAGATACAATTATAAATGTAATTATATTTTTAATTATGATTAATTTTATAATTATTTTTTTTTTGTAATTATAATTATAATATTTATCTCTATAATCATAATTATATCTATAATTACTAATTTAAATATATAATTACTCCGAAGTAATAATAATTACAAAAATAACAACAAGAACAACAATCATATTAATAATAATGATGATTATAATTATAATTACATTTTAAATCATAATTATAATTATAATTATAATTATATTATATTATATTATATTATATTATATTATATTATATTATATTATATTATATTATATTATATTATATTATATTATATTATATTATATTATATTATATTATATTATATTATATTATATTATATTATATTATATTATATTATATTATATTATATTATATTATATTATATTATATTATATTATATTATATTATATTATATTATATTATATTATATTATATTATATTATATTATATTATATTATATTATATTATATTATATTATATTATATTATATTATATTATATTATATTATATTATATTATATTATATTATATTATATTATATTATATTATATTATATTATATTATATTATATTATATTATATTATATTATATTATATTATATTATATTATATTATATTATATTATATTATTATAATATAATAATAATTTTATATTATTAACATTATTATTATATTATTATTAATAATATTATTATATTAATATATTAATATTATTAAAAATAACTATAATATAATAATCATAATTAATATAATAATAAAAGTGATAAATCATGTTTGAATTTTTTGATCTGATCTGATCTGATCTGAATGTTTCTGATCTGATCTGAATGTTTCTGATCTGGTCTGATCTGGTCTGAATCTTTCTGATCTGATCTGAATGTTGCTGATCTGATCTGAATCTTTCTGATCTGATCTGAATGTTTCTGATCTGATCTGATCTGATCTGAATCTTTCTGATCTGATCTGATCTGATCTGAATCTTTCTGATCTGATCTGATCTGATCTGAATAAAATAAGATTAAGGAATAAGTAATAAGATTAAGACGAACGGAACAGCTTCTTAGTTATGGGACAGAGGAAGTTTAGGTATTTGTATATGTGGTTCAATAGACAAATGAATGTATGTTTATAAGTTTACGTTTACATTACACATTGCATTAAATTAGATTTCATTATGTCTAACTGAACTACATCTATTTGTAAATCTAGATTACAGTCATATAATGAGTTTATATGCTCTTATATTCTGATTAGACCTGCATTTGCTGATATTTTGCTGCGACTGCAGGCATATTCATACATGCACATTCGCAACAAGGAGTTTCCATGGGGTAAATTTTTACTTTTAAATCTGAAGTTGTTTAATTGTGCTTATCAGTTACCCTTTAGTTCCGAAGTTTACCTGAGGTGCATCTTTATAGTTTATACCTAGTTCTATGTACTTAGAAGTTATATATTGTGGGTGTGCATGACTGCATTTTACAATTCAATGCTCTATGAGCACTTGGGTTAGGGGTTGTCAACAGGAGCATAGGCAGTGGGGCAAATCCAAAAAAGAATAAGGCGGTCAAGGCAGGGAAGTTTAGGGTATGTTCTGGAATTTTGTTTGGGGGCCTCAGGGTTGTTTATTCATATTTTTATTAATTAAGAGAATTATATATGGAGATTTCCCAAAATAGGAGTAAATGAAGTTTGGAATTCCAAAATAGGACTATTATGTTTTTATTCCCGAAATAGGACTAACATGTCAGTATTTACTGCCATCTTGTAGGCGTGACTGCCAAATAGGTGCAGTATAGTGCATTCAACATGACATTATTTATTATAATTAATGGCCGTATTTTTTAATCAGGGCAGTATTTTTCATGCATGACAATAACAACTCCTATTTCGGGAAGAAAAACATAGTAGTCCTATTTTGGAATTTCAAACCTCATTTACTCCTATTTAGGACAATTTCCCAATTATATATGGTTTATTGTCATACATAAAGCCAGAACATTGAATTTATGCTAATTTAAAACAAGATGAAAATAAACCCACCACCCCCGTTCCCTCAAAAACCAAACTCCTAAGCACACCCTTAGGTGGCGTTTAGTTCACAAAATGTAACCGGGTGGCGTAGCTAACCTGATAGAGATAGGGTGCCACAAGGGAGAGGTCTTGAGTTCAACTCCAAGCAATGAATTGGGATGAAACGCCGCTCTCTTTCCATCAGACTTTCCATCAGAGTGATCAAAGCCTAACTCACACCCTCTCAGATAACTGTCCGGTTGGTTCTGGGGAGCCCTCAGGGATGTGGTGTTATCCTTTTTTTTAGTACACGAAATGTAAGATTACCACAGAGGTAATGTGATTACCTCTGGGAGGATTACTTAGAGTAATCCTCTAAGTAATAGGATTATCTAGGGAATGTGAGATAAGAAGGAGGTAAAACCACATGGTGGTTTTGGTTGAAATGCGTAGTAATAATGTAATATTAATATGTTAAAATTAAAAAAATAACTAGAATGCATAATGGGAGGTTAGTAGAATATTACCATAGTAATTTTACATTACCTAAGAAACCCAAGGTGATCAAATTAACACCAATATTACCTCAGTTCCTATGAGGTGATCCAACATAACCTTTCTAACATTCCTAAGAGAACCTGAGATAACATGAAATACACACCCCCTTAGTGTCAGTGTCTTGGATGTTTGGCAACGATGTTGTTACTATGCCAGAGATGTGGTGACTAATTTAGTGACTAATGACTAATTTAGTTTGTTTATCCTTTTTAAGATTGTATTGATCTCGGGATTATTTCTTGTACTTGCAGGTCCAGATGGCCTTTTTGAGGTGAAGCACCATTGATCGTTTCCCCCATCATTGTGAATATAAGGAATAATTTGTTTGGAAATTGCTTTCAAGATTTCGTTGAATCTTGTGCAGTATTTGCAGTTCAAGTTTTTGTTTTCCTGGTTTTTATGTCACTTAGCGTTGGGAAATACGTATAGTAGTATTTACATAAGAGGTTGGAATGTAATCTTTTCCAGCAACTTCAAATTTCAAAACTTACTTCAAGAAAAATACCGAAGAAATATTCTGACTTGATTTGGTCATTTGGCGTAACTTTTTTTTTTTTAATACTTTCTGCTTTTCCATTTAAATTGTTGTAATGATCGTCAATAAATAAGTACTCGTATTTAGTAAGAAACCCACCCCCCTCGGAATCCAGCATGGTCATCATAACTAATACAAGTAAGTGTTATTAATTCCATTGAATGAAATGAAAGAATGATTAAAATATAACTCCTTGAAACTGATAAAATACTGCAAGCCTTGTTATTTTTAAACAGCGATATCATTATTCCTAATTCTATACTACCCCAAGTCCCCAACCCATTCTCTATCCGATACACAATTGGCCAATGGCCATGGGCCATGGCATACTAAAGGTGATATATGTGGTCATATTTTTCGAATGAGATTGATGTTATTAATTACTCTGTAATATTTAAGGAAAAGCTATACGTAAAAATGTAAAATAGTTCGAAATAACAAAGTTGTCTAACTTAAACATGAAGAGCATTCATAATGCATTCATGTCTAACTAATTAGTAAAAAATTAGTTTAAATTAGGTTGGCTGACATGAAATGACAAAAATATTAAACAATGTCAAGAGTAATGTCTGATTGATGTCAAGATTGATTATCTATGAGTAGAATGACATATAGATTTGTTGACTCAGACAAAAAGGCTCTCCCTTCGAAAAAAATAGAGGAAAACAAAAATTACTTTGACAATGGAATAACGTGATTTCTCTCTAATCTTCTTTAAGAATCCCTCAAATTATAAACCATGTGTGTGTTAGAAACATATTTTTTTTAAAATCCCTCAAGAGAGCCAAAGCGCTGACCATATATATCAGTAATATCACCTCCCTGTAACTACTTTACAATAGAAAATTAATTTTATAGAGTAATATTTTTAGTAAAAACTACTCCCTCCGTCCCCCTAACTTTGTCCCGTTTTACCTTTTTCGTCCGTCCCATTAAATTTGTCCCATACCATATTAGGTAATGTTTGAGTGGTTAGAATTCATTCTTACTTTATTCACACATTATCATTCAATACCTACCACACAATTCTACTTTTTCTTAAAAACCACACCACACCCCTTTGTCCCAAACTTAGGGGGACGGAGGTAGTAGTTTATTACTCCGTATTAAATAAATTCCACAGACATTTAACTTGCGCTTTAAGACTGCATTGGAGAATGGAGACATCCTCCATATGTTATTGTCCAATCACTCTATTTATTACTCCCTCCGTCCCCGAAAGAAGTTCCCCATTTGACTTTCACACACTTTTATGCAAGTAAACTTATCTTGGGTAAATTTTACTGTTTTGACACTGTTTGACACTGTTTGACACTGTTTTGCACTGTTAGGCACTGTTTTGATGTAGATAACTTTCCATTTAAGGAAATGGGAACTTAAATTAGGGACATCCAAATAAGGATAGTGAGAACTTCTTTCGGGGACGGAGGGAGTATGTGGATTAGAAAGTCTTGTAATAATTTGACATTAGATATAATTTATTTAGACTGGAAAGAGTTGCACTGAGAATGCTCTGAAAAGGTAGGTCGTAACTCGTAACATAAGAAGCACATAAACTTTTTACGGATCACACTTTCCCGCTTCGAAAATTCGTAAACATTTCAGACAGAATGTTCTAATGTACATTGTGTATATATTTTTGGTACACATTTATTGCCTTATTTTTTGTGAAAAGTTGCTCGAAATTACCATAATGCCATCACATTTTAGATTTAAAAATTGTCTCGTCCACAACTTTTTTCACATCAATGATCAAGAGTACTTTCTTATTTTTTATCCAAAAGATACTCTTTACACGAACCAAATAATACGTAGTATATGTGTGTGTTGTGTCTATGAAATAACATGAATACATATGTATACATAAATACATATATGCATGTGTATATGGAAAAGAATTCTTACACATTTTAATAAAATCCTGTTTCTTGCGCTTAACTTTGTAACGAAATGTTGCAATGAGCAACACAAGCAGTAATGAGAATAATACGCAGTACTGTAATTTGTTTCCAGCTGCAAAAGCCACAAAACTAAATGAATTCTGAATGTTACATGCCTAAAAACTTTGAAAGAATAACACAATCAATAAATCTTCAGCATCCTTTTGCTATTTTCTTCAGTATGTAATGTGGCAACTGCTTACAAAATGTTACTGCCATCTTTATATCTTAGTGTGAACTGCACTGATCACTCAACTCTGGTTGACTGATCCAGTGGGGAATCATCGGTAATTCCATTTGTGCCATTTTTATTAGCGGGGTCCACAGATGCAGAATCTGAAACAGATTTCCCACTGGTTGATGGAACACTCTCATTCGGAACATCTTTTTTCTCAGTTTCTTCTTCAGGGACAGCTTCTTCCTTAAGACCAGCATTATGGATGGGTTCATTTTCAGCTTGAGCGACATCGTTCGTCGCGTTTTCTTCTTGCTTCCCTTCATTCTTATTCCCTTCAATTAGTGATGAATTTCTCAATTTGTTCCCTTCTTCGCCTGCATCTTCATTTTCACCTTGAATTTCTAGAACCTCATTCGGGTGTGAACCAGATTCTGTGATTGTGCTCTCTTTACCTTCTTTCCCATTTTCAATCTCCTGCCTCTCTTTTCCTTCGCTTTCCACATATTTTCTCTCGTTATTTCCCTCTCCTTGAGCTTCCTTAGTTTCACCCCCGATAACACTTCTTCCCACTACCTTAGAATCGTTCTCGTCCGCTACACCTTTACTTGTTTCATCACTTGCATTCTCTTTGATGTCAATATTATTATTATTATTATTATTTTCCTCTACCTGGACATCCTTTTTTTCATCTGTCTTGTCAATATTTGTATCTACACTAGAACCCTTCTCTTCACTTTCATTTTTACTGGTGTCCTCATTAGCATTCTCTTTGCTCCCCAACTCATCTACTTTGCTATCACTAGTATCCTCTACCTTTACTTCCTTCTCTTCACTTCCATTTTTACTAGTATCCTCACTAGCATTCTCTTTGCTCACCGACTCGTCCTCTTTCCCGTCATTAAACTCCTCTTCTTTTACTTCCTTCTCTTCACCACCATTTTCACTTGTTTCCTCATTTCCATTCTCTTTGATCTCATTATTATGAGTATTGTTTTCGTCTTCCCTAACATCCTTCTTTTCATCTGTGCTGTCACTAATTTTGTCTACCATAGAATCCTTCTCTTCGCTTGCATTTGTACTAGTTTCCTCGCTAGCATTCTCTTTGCTTCCTGATTCGTCTTTTTTGTTGTCACTAGTCTCATCTACCTTGACTTCGTTTTGATCACCTTGATTTTCACTTGTCTCCTCACTTCCATTGCTCTCCTCCCTGTTTTCTTTAATATTACCATTTTCTTCTACTTTAACTTTGTTCTCTTTACCATCATTTTCAATCGTTTCCATGCTTTCTCTCTCCTTCCCCTCCTCATTCTCACTCCCATTTTCAGTCTTTTCCTTTTCTTCACTCCCCTTTTCCTCATCTACTGTCTCGTCACTATGCTCAATTTGTACTGTTCTTTCTGGGTCGTTCTCGTCATCAAAACTTTTTCCTTCCACTTCATCTTCGATAGTTACTTCCACTGTACGAGGTTGGAGGTCTTTCCTGCCTAACTTGAGATCATCATAACCAGTCTCTACCTTCTCTGAGACACTTGAGGTTTCTCCATTTGATGGTTTCTTATCACGTGACTGCTGGATTTGGTAAAGCAGCCAGATGCAAACACCTATGAGTACACATATTTGAAGAGTGTGTTTCGCTTTGAATCTCTTGTTTGGCTGGTTCCTACGCGGTGAGTGCTTGAACATGGCGATTTCTTTAAAATGCTAACAAGATCTGCAAATGTCAAAACTGCCTCCCAATTAACTTCCAAACAAAGAGATAAATTAGTTTCAGAAGGTAAAAAAACAAACAAAGAGAAGCTGCCATATCAAATGTGTTTTTTTTAAATAGTGGAACAAAATTCAGAATAACTGAGGAGAAATACATGCAACATTCGCCAGAAGAAAATTGATTTGTTCCTTGTTATCAGTGTCCTAGAAATCTTTAGGCACCAGCTAGGACACATATACTTAGGCTTAAACTTACTATGAAGGGGAGCATTCTTATGAGAGGATCTCGGCAAGGTTTATCCCAAGTATACTCGGTCCTAAAACCTAGTTGGGGCCTGGAAAGGGTCATCCAAACTATAAGCAGGATGAATTCAAGGTAAAAATTCAAACAGCTGATTATGTATGAAAGGAGGATTGGGGGGGGGGGGGAGAATGAATACATTAATACATTACGGGGCTTAATTTATATTTTGATATATATTTAAAGTTTATAAGAAATAAATGTTTGCATAATACATGTGATCATTTAACAATTCAATCACCTTCTTGTCATTCTTTTCAAGAAAAACATTCAATTTGTCAAGATATAGACGAAACTCAGCTCAGACTTCCCCTCCAAATTCCCCCAAAACACTCCATCCAAAGGTATCCGAAGGAAATATACCATCTTGGGAATTTTAGACCACAACTTATTAGACATTTCAAATGATCAGATCTAAAGAAATGATCTCAGAGGAAAATATTCTACAAAGACAGAAGACGAAAGCTCTACAAATATCCATTAACAACTAAAAAACAGCAAGGTGATCAAACATTGATGTTATCCATGACAGTACAGATCTGAATTTATAAATTCCCACTGCAAGAGAACACTTTGGTCATATTAGTCTCAACTTACTTGCAAATAAACATGACCTATGGTCTAACACCAGATGATTGAGAATATCAATCAGTGTAAACTGTAAAGGCAAATTTATAACAAAGGTCAACCCCAGAAGCTACTGAATCATATAGATCTGTACTCAGTAAACAGCTCTATACACAATGAAAACCCATTATCACTCGATGCACTAATAAGATCAAGGACAAAAATAAAAAGGTAGGGGTGTTAAATCTAAACCTTCAACCGCAAATAGAGATGAGAATATGAGCAAGGGAAGCTGAGCCTTCCAGTGAAGCAAGTCCTTTGAATCCCTTGGAGATAAATTACGAGTTTTATACAGCTACTATGAGCAGATAGCTATTAGCTATGCTACACTTTTGGCATCCCCAATATCAAATGCTGGCCA